CACGACAAGCTGATTTCCACAAATGAGTGAATTACTTCTGTTATTGTTTGCCAAGCCTGTATGACGGAGTTCTTTCTGTGGAACACAAACAAATAAAACAATTATTTCCATTGCTTATCATTTTGTTTTGGGTTCCACAGAAGAACAAAGGTCATATGGGTTTGGAAATATGAGGATGCAATCTATTTCACAATATGTTATGTTAAGAAACAATCTGGGATATTCTAGTTCATAACCTACATGTTTGCTTTAGTGACAATGGGGCTAAATCTGCATCACAACTTTCATCCTGTAGGACAGTAATGTGAAGGAGTTGGTGGGTCCTCGTTTCCTGGTTCAGAGGGGCTGCACGTATCAAGAAGTAGAGTACCGGATGGCCATCTTGCCCGGCTGCCCTTCACATGCAGATCCTCACTTCACCTATCCGGTGGCCCTTAGTTGCCACTGCAGCACCTGTAACACCCACAGTGATGAATGTGCCCACAAAACCAGCAACGCTGGCATGAAATGCTCCAAACCTGTCCATCATTTGTACCCTGAGAACAACTACATTCAGGCATATTGGGAACAGTATGAGTAAAGTTTAATTAACTAAAACTTAAATTAAACACAGTGTTTGTGCTGTAGCACTTGACTGTGGGCAGTTATTTTTTAGGTAATCTTTGAGTAAACCTTATGTCACAAAGTTACCTAACACATTATGGTTGCTGTATTTTATATCCTGCATATGATGTCTTTAATGAGGCCAAAAGCGGTTAAAAAGAAGGTGTGTTTTTAATGGGGTTCAAATACTTTTGATTTTATGGATAATATAAATTCTGTAAACTTTACTTATGTTTTAGTGTTTGATTGGCAGTGCTTCTATAAAAAATACAGAGTGAAAATCCTTCCATAAAAATGAGTTGTTATCATTATTGTTTGTGTTTATGGTTTAACAGTTTGTTTCTGTGTAATTATTCATACTCTTTTGTGGTTACCAGTAAACTGTAAAAGCTTGTCGTGCAATAGATGCAAAATGAGAGGGGAAGAAATTTCAGTCCCAGAACCAACAAACTTTAATGGCGATTTGTATTTGTTTTACGTTTTGGCAAATTGGTAGCTAATTCATATGAATTTGTATGATTCCTTTCGTACATTTTCATACGATTTATATGTATATTTATATATTTATATTTATATGATTATATGATTCATAATGGTTAGGTTTACGTGTGTGTTTAGATTTGGACCTTCATGCTTTTTTCTAAAAAATGTATGTTTCCGTATGACTCACATTGTACAAATGTATACAACATTCATTTGTACTCTTTTGTGGTTTCCAATTGTTTGTAGGACAAGGGCTAGTCATGTAATAGATTTAACCAAAACAATAGATGTAGTGAGTAATTTCAGTCCCAGAACCACCAATCCATATATGTTGTATGTTTTGGCAAATTGGTCTCTAATTCAAGATTTTGTACACTCTCTTTTGTATATGTTTGTATGATCTTGTGTCCTATTGATGGTTAGGTTTATGGACCTTCATACTTACTTTTTTCTAGTAAGTGTACATTTTCAGTGAATTGCATTGTACAAATTTGTGCAAAATTCATTCATACTCTATTGTGGTTCCGAGTTGGTGGTAAGGACAAAGGTTAGTCATGCAATGGATTAAAGCAAAACATAAGGTGAAGTAAGTCATTTTTGACCCAGAACCATCACACTCTCATGGCAGTCAATTTTACATTTTGGCGAATTGGTGATTAATTCATATGAATTTGTCTGGTTTCTTTCGTCCGTTTTCATACAATATGTTTAAGTCCCACTACTGGTTCGGGGTGGTCCTTCTGGCTTACTTTTTTTTAAACTTGCATGTTTCTGTGCGAATCGCATTGTACGAATTCATACAAAATCTTCACCTCGTAAAATAGTTACATTTTCTCATGGGATCAGGGTTGGCCAGAACTACAAAACTAAATGACTGAATAATGCTAAACCGATTTCCAAAATATTCACCCTGTCTGCCATTAGTCATCAAACAAATCCCGCTTTAAAACGCATGCTATTGATTAAACCGATGTTGATAAGCTGAGCTGCATGACTGGGAGGCTGAAAGGGCCATTTAAATACTGATTCTGAAATTGTGCCACTTGGTAAAGCATTGTTTTGCGTAAATGTTGTTCATTAAAAGAACTGCTTTGTATTGAACCACCATACAGTGTCATTGACATTTAATTGTCCAAGAAGTAGCCGTCATTGTGGTGTGTTTGTGTGTAGTAAATGAGCACTCATTCCAAGATAATGCATATTTAGAGAGGCAAACAGCTGTGGGTTATTTATATTACGAGCTCAGAGGATGGTTAACCCAAGTTTGCATTCATTCTAGTCCTTTTGTTACTGCCTTTATAGGCCATATTGTATTTTATGGGAAATTGTAACCAGCCGTTACTACGTATTTCTTTTATGGCTGTCACGCAATAATATATTCTTCTTTTTTATGTGGCAGAAGAAGAGTTATAGAAAGTGGTGTCTAGAGGTGGGTCAAGAACTGACACCATGGTCACATGCTTGGGGTTCATGGCAGGACAGCAAATGAAATATATTAGGTCCTGCCTCTCAGTCAGTGTCCTGTCAACCAGTACAAACATGACCTACTCCTCCCTAACTATGGAAAACTACTACACATGGTATAATTAAGAAAAAACATACTGTATGTTCCCTGTCCAAACATGTACAAATCAATACATTTTCATTTGTAATGCATGGATTACATAATGGCATGGAGGCTGTTCTCCATCTTTCATTATTTATCCATGTTAGTTTTCCTTTAATCATGTTCATTCATATGTAGAGACGGCCATTCCACTGTGACCCCCTTCATATTATTCAAGGATTCCCGACGGCTTGGCCACAATCTGGCCAATCAAATGAGAATGGCGCAGATGCTTTCTTGACAATAGTGCATGAGTCTTTTGTGATAATCCAATGCCCTGATATAATAATACATCAAACAATAAAGCTGGTGGAATCTGGCTGCTCAGCAGAGTTGGAGGGACCCCTGTGCTCAGAGTCCAGTGGGATTTTTGTGCTGCATTCCTCTTGCTAAAACTGGCTAGACTTGAAACATGAACCAAAGGTTGAGAAGCCCAAGGCTGAATTTCAATGGGGCTGTTGTTGCTGAAGTTCAGCAAAGTTGCATTCAAATTTGAGTCTTTAAGTTACATTCCAAGCTGGCCTTTTAAGATGACCTAAATAACCTTCATACAGGTTCTTCTAAAAAAGTCTGTTTAAGAAAAGTCTGGAAGATAAAATAACAGCATGACACAAGTATACAGCTCTGCAATGTAGTCATCTAAATTAGAGCTGATCAATATTTCACGTGTTATGAGTCAATGAGCTAAATAAAGCTGTTATTGTGAGTGATAACCACCAGCTGCAGGCCTGATAGTTTTAATATAACACCCGTACATTCATTGTCTGTTATTTTAAGCATATCAGACAACTGTTCACTTAAATTAGAACTTTATTACTAGAACTGTCAACCTGAGAAACGAAGATTAGCACGTCGATCGCTGATCTTTCTGGAGTTTCACTGAGAAGAAGCTTACAGGGATTTACCTTCATCATGCTCTAGGAAGAGGGTGTCAGTGTGCTACATCTCTTAATCACAGTTAGGCTACTTACACCAAACAAGTAAACACATTGTGTCTCACAACACGGTTTGTAATTACAGGGTTTCAGGGGGAAAATATGGAAAAAGCTTGTTTTCATGTTGGTCTTTTCCCAATGTTTACCATTTCGGAAGCCCAAGGCTGAATTTCAATGGGGCTGTTGTTGCTGAAGTTCAGCAAAGTTGCATTCAAATTTGAGTCTTTAAGTTACATTCCAAGCTGGCCTTTTAAGATGACCTAAATAACCTTCATACAGGTTCTTCTAAAAAAGTCTGTTTAAGAAAAGTCTGGAAGATAAAATAACAGCATGACACAAGTATACAGCTCTGCAATGTAGTCATCTAAATTAGAGCTGATCAATATTTCACGTGTTATGAGTCAATGAGCTAAATAAAGCTGTTATTGTGAGTGATAACCACCAGCTGCAGGCCTGATAGTTTTAATATAACACCCGTACATTCATTGTCTGGTATTTTAAGCATATCAGACAACTGTTCACTTAAATTAGAACTTTATTACTAGAACTGTCAACCTGAGAAACGAAGATTAGCACGTCGATCGCTGATCTTTCTTGAGTTTCACTGAGAAGAAGCTTACAGGGATTTACCTTCATCATGCTCTAGGAAGAGGGTGTCAGTGTGCTACATCTCTTAATCATTGTGTCTCACAACACGGTTTGTAATTACAGGGTTTCAGGGGGAAAATATGGAAAAAGCTTGTTTTCATGTTGGTCTTTTCCCAATGTTTACCATTTCTACTCAAGCATTCTAATGCTAATCAGGGCAATCAAAGAATTGGTGTCTGAGAAAGTATAATTTTAGTAGTTTCTGTGATTGTTGCAGAACACATCCACTATATTTTTGTCTGCTATTCTAAAAAAAAAAAACTACCTGGGAAAACTATACGGGCAAAAACATTGTCAATATCGCTCTTTTTAATAGAGAATCAGAAAATATGAAAATTAGAGAAGAAAAGTAAAATACATTTTTTTATTTAGTATTTTATATTCTATGTTAATATGTTTTCTTTGTGCCATCCTGTTCTTAATGTATATATTTTATGAAAAGTAATATAAATCATAACCATAAATATGTATTTCTCTTTTATTATTCATACATATTGCGTTTAGAACACAACTACTGTTCTAGAAACGTCACAGAACTAAAATACCCTTTCTTTCGATATGGCCGCTGTAATTTGACACCGTGTCCTCTCTCACCCCTCGGCTTTGACTCATAGTGGGAGGTCCTTAGAACTGACTGCAAATTGAATGTGAGCATGCATGATTGGACAAGTAAATTTACACACGGCACAAACGCCCCGCCTCCTATTTTAAAGCTGAAAGGAATTTTCCATTCAAACATTCATTCAAAGTCCCTCGTCGTGGAACGTTCTAGAATACGGAACCTCATTCAAATATTTGAACGATTTCGGCTCATTTCTGAGGTACGTAAAGTGTTTATTTTGGAAAAAGCGTTAAACAGTTTTATGTTCTAGTACTAATATAGAAGTTAAATAGTAGAAATAACGTTATATCAGAAATAGAAATGTTGAGCAGCAAGCTCTTCACCGACCAAACGTGTACCGGTAATAAAATAATTTGACTCGTAATATTTTAATATCTTCGGGGTTGGAGGTAACCGTTCTCTCAAGTGTTTTCGTTTATTTAACCCGGTTTTAGTTTGCCTTGTACCCAACCTGCAGCTTTGACCGTTGGGCGAAACCGGGTAATTCATTTCCGCTTTTCTAGAAATGCTGACTGAATTTCCTTAACCGCGTTCAAAAGATTGCTTTCGAGAATTGTTTTATAAATGTTTTTTATTTCATGTACTTAATTGTCTTAATACTGTATATATCTGTGTCTTTATCTTTAATGCAACAGCCACAAAATGTTAAGAATAGGGAGCGATATTTGTAAAAAAAAAAAAAAAAAAAGGTTATAAAATTGCCAAAGAAAAACCATGCAGAAATTGAGCTTGTTTGCAAACCTAATGTAATGGGCGTGTGTAAGAGGAATGCCACTGAAACGTGTCAGGTCTTGAGTTATTATCTTGTTAAAAATGTTAAAAAAAGGGAACGATATTTTTAAAAAAAAAAAAAAAAAAAAAAAGGTTATAAACTTGCCAAAGAAAAACCATGCAGAAATTGAGCTTGTTTGCAAACCTAATGCAATGGACGTGTGTAAGAGGAATGCCACTGAAACGTGTCAGGTCTTGAGTTATTATCTTGTTAAATTCCTGTGAAGCGAATTAGCGGTTTCCAATTCGTGAATGAATCATTCTTTCGGGTCGACTCTTTTTGATGAACACGTTGAGCTGGTTCACAAAATCAGTTTGAATGGGCAATTAGCGAGTAAATAACAACCACTCTTATTAATAATGTGCATATGTATGACTTTACCGAAGTAAAACCATACATTTACCGAAGTATTACCGAATTTAATAGGCGGGATGTCAGAGACCACGTGATTGCGTAATTGCGTCAGGACGTGAAAGAACTGCCCGCGCTTTGAAACAAACGGGTCGTTTTATTCTTTGTACAGGACAATGTTGATTCCAAAAGTACGATATGCTTTCTTACACAACTTTTTATTTTATTTGGAAAACATCACATTCATGTGAAAAAAATGGTCTAAAGCTAAGCCAAATTTTGAACATTTGATAAAAGAGATTAAACAATATGGTACCACATTAGACAAAATTAAGAACAAAAAAGCTTGAAAGACCTATGAAGCTTTTTGTTACTTTAAATTGCTGTAATTTTACCCCTGGCTTGAATTGTTTCACTTTATATATTATGATTATTTGTTTGTTTTTGTACTTGCTGCGAGTTGTATGTGTTTGTACAAATCTTTGTATAATGTTTGCACAATAAAAAATAAATAATTTTTGAAAAACTGTTCGAAAAAGCCGATTCGCGGAAATGAGTCGGACTTCCCATCAGTGACGTATACACGCCACATAGCCAAACCCCCTGACTGAACACATGCTACTTACACATTGGCCGGTAGTGAGTCAGTCTCGTCTGACCTTACGGCTCAGTGTTTTGGCCGGGGGATTAAAACGTCGCGCGATGCGTAGGAAGAGCTTAATGACAGTGAGGTGGAAGTTATTTGTTGTTTGTAGAGTACGTGTAGAAGGCTTATATCAGTCAGTTAACATTGATCACTGTATCTTTACTCCAGGTCTCTGCTCTGGAGGTCTGAACTTCCTTCACTGATCACTGCAAGAAGCTCTAATCAAACTCTATTCTCATCTCATTCCTGAAACTTGTCTCAACAAATCACACAATGTCTCAACAAATCAGGTACAGGATATTATAAATCATTAATTTAATTTTAGGAATTAGGTTGTTTTTGTGTATATGTATGTGTGTGTGTGTATATATATTAGACAATGGCAATATAAGTAGTTAAATGTTAAGTAATAGTTAATGAATAATGCTTTTTTTATATTAATACTTTTACAAAAGCCCCCTTGAATTCATGTGTTATTATTATTCTTTTTTTTTTTTGCTATGTTTTGATTCATTTTGTACATTTCTCCTTTAGCCTCCCTGCCAAACTGATCAATGGTGGCATTGCTGGCATCGTTGGGGTCACTTGCGTGTTTCCCATCGATTTGGCCAAGACTAGACTCCAGAACCAGAGACAAGGCCAGCAAGTCTACAAGAGCATGTAAGCGCTCTCCACTTCTTATTCTTAAATTCCTCATTCTATTTTAATTCACACACACACCATTATTAGAGACTCCTGCTTGTCATTCCTCACTTTGATTTGATTAGCATTGGTAGTTAATCCTAGTGGAATGTGTCAGGCCAGGCGTAGTTTCCGCCTGACATGATGGTTCAGCCACTATGGTCACTGCAAAGCCTTATAAGGATTGAGGCCAGACCGTGTCGCATGCATGATGTAAACGCATACTGAACATACCACACGTAGCTTTTGTTGCTAATACAAGTTAATTTGTTGAAGCAAAAGTAGGCTGACCCATGTTAACACAACTGTTTGTTTTTTAGGGTTGACTGCCTCATCAAAACCGTACGATCTGAGGGATACTTTGGCATGTATAGAGGTAAGATTCACCCTTTTATTTATTCATAAGTGCCTTAATGTATAGTTATGCCCTATTTAGATTAGAATATCCTCTTATATGACATGATGGGTACACCTGAATAGGCTTAAAGAATCCAGTCCATATGACTTTGGGGAATTAACTAGAATAGCTTGGATGGTGGTAGTTAAACACAAACTAATGTTTTTTTTTTGCTATTTGTAGCACTGAAATGGCAATGTTTAAGCACTTTCCCAACGTCTAAAGAAGACTTTTTTTTTTTGTCTATTGAGTATGCTTTAGGCTGTTATTGAGGCCATTTACCAGCCAGAGTAGTACATAACCCTTTATTTTTAACCCTCTGATGAATGGCGTGCACTATAGTGGCATTTTAACTATTCAAGGTGTGATGTTACATGCAAACCACCATGGGGCGATTTTTAATTTGACCTTCAGCCATAATTCTACGTGACTGTCCCTAATTAAGTAATTAATCTCACTTAATTACCTCTTTAATATTTACCATTAGCTTATGTTAATGGACCAATCTCTCAAAATACACTTTATTTTAAATTCATGAAAATAATATACTCAATAAATAAATTGGAAATGGTTATGGTGTTAAAGTACTAAAAAAATTAGTTTTTATTTATGAGATGTAGTAATTAATGCATCAGAGGGTTAAATTTAAATGGAGCAAATCAAACATGTTGTAATTATTACCTTTGGTAGATCAGTTGTTTGGCTTCAGTTATTCAGTAGACCAATATAAGTATCCTTGAAGAGTGCTGTCTGTGGAGTTTGGAGGAGATTGGAGTCGGTGTATTGTGCCGGGTCTCCATTTCTGTGAGGAATGCTGTTGTTTGCATCTGTGTTTTTCATATTACAGACATGGGTCCCCGCTGGGATAGTGAAGGCTAGCCGATAAGGCGCAGCCACGCTGGAGGCAAATCATTTATCATGGTTCTTACTCACTCTGCTCTTACAATTAGGCACAATTTTGTTTTATTTATACATAATTGTTGAATTGATATTTACTTTTGCTTGTTTCTTTGTAGTTTTTTTTTTTCTTTTTCTTCACTGCCCTTGCTCTTGTCTCAATCGGTACTAACCCATCTTATCATGTTCTGTTAACATCTAGAATGTTTTGTTGGATAATATATTCATCATCATCACCACTTACGCTCATTATCTGCTTCGTTTTTAAATTATTTTTATTTGATCATGTGAACAACCGCTGTGCTTTGACTTTAAAGACAGTGGCATCTTAAAATAACACGGTTTCAATTAGGGCTGGGCAGTATGACCAAATTCTTATATTACTGTAAAAGTATATATTTTTTGCCAAAATTCAACCCAAAATGTTTTATCTTACAAAATTATATAGTTATACGTTTATGAATAATTGACCAATTAAAGTTACTTAGTCTTAATTCTTTTCTTTTATATGGATTATTTTCTTTAGTATGCAAACTTGAGGAATGCACAACAAATCCAGATGTCTGGCATCAGTGTAAAAAAAATTCTTCACTTCATTTATCACTTGAGTTTAAAAACACTCAGTACAGCAGTACATTATAAATATAATATAGAAAGTGCATTATAAATAATAATATTTGAAGCTGTTGTGAAATAGTTGTGACCTCACATCAGTTGATTAATATTTAAACTACAGTTAGCACATGTGCAACACATCAAAACTACACAAAGCGGGCTTCAATGGAAGCAGCTGTTTGTGACCGTTTGGCTGTATTTCTCTCTATTGTTTGCAGATTGAAAACTGAATAAACGGCACAGCAGAATCTACCTGCTGACACGTTTCCATACCATTATATACTGTGATACTGCACAGCCCTAATGTCGGTCTCTTTCTGGAATGTGCCTGCATTCATTTTTCTCACTACATTTATGTGAATATTCCGTCCTATTTTTCTGTCCTGTTTGTTTATATACTAGTTAAAATTTTTTTGGTTCTGTTCACATTGTAGAATCCCCCTCCATCATCAGCTCACAGTTTTTATGAGCTTTGCTTATATTCTTATAGTCTCTTAGTAGCATTTTTATATTGTAATCAGTTTGAATGGTATTTGATAAGGTCATGTTGTAGATTTTTCTCTGGTTTGATGGTGGTGGGGAATGTGTGTTTGCTAATCTGTGATCAGTTGTGGTGTAGTTTTCTTTAACCCTCTGTTTTTTTGTCTTTTAGGTGCTGCGGTTAATCTTACACTCGTCACTCCTGAGAAGGCCATCAAACTGGCTGCCAATGACTTCTTCCGTTGCCACCTCTCCAAAGATGGGTACGTTTTCTGCTTCTGTACTTTTTAGTGCTTGTTCAAATGCACATTTTTTTTATATACATGTATAACCATTGCCTTGCTTGTTACAGGAGAGGGCTGACTGTATTTAGAGAGATGTTGGCTGGATGTGCTGCGGGCATGTGCCAGGTTATCATCACTACTCCAATGGAGATGCTGAAAATTCAACTGCAGGATGCTGGGAGACTAGGTAGGTTTTTTTTTGTGCTTAATGAAGCAATGAAATCTAGCCTATTGAGTGGTCTGTATTCTGATTGGTCAGTTGTGTCATTTGGCACGCAGTAATACGAGTACATTGAGTTCAGTCTAGTTGTATTATTCACTCAGTCATTTAGCTGTAGCAACAACTTTCTGATCATCTTCACAGCCGCTCAGCAGAGAAAACCAGGCATAATTCCGCCCAATAGACTGGTGACCACAAACGCGGTGTTGAGTCGCTCCTACAACGTGGTGCCCAACACCTCACCCAGGGCCGTATCTGCCACCCAGATCGCAAGAGAGTTACTGCACTCTCAAGGCATTCAGGGGCTCTACAAAGGCCTTGGTGCAACTCTATTAAGGTAATGCGTCGTATAATCTTTACTGTAACAACACTAAATGCAAACATTCACAGTAATGAGACCATTAATGACTTTTCTCCTTTTTTTTTTTATATATATATAGAGATGTACCTTTCTCGATCATCTACTTCCCTCTCTTTGCAAATTTGAACAAGTTGGGTAAGCCCTCCCCTGATGCAGCTGCACCATTTTATTGGTCCTTCATCTCTGGATGTGTTGCAGGCTCCACAGCTGCTGTTGCCGTTAACCCATGTGATGGTAAGAGTTTTGGTTCTCTTTAGCCACATTTCATTGCACTTTTAAAAGGAAATGCACATGCTCACTGTTTTTATTTGATTTGGCAGTGGTTAAGACCAGGCTGCAGTCTCTGAGCAAAGGAGCCAACGAGGAAACCTACAGCGGCATAATTGACTGTTTCAGGTGACGCATCAGTCCAATAACTTGTTTTAAATGTTACTTAACCGATTTCTAATTCTGGAATGTGAGTATATCATCTACCGCCTGTGACCGTTGCTTGTTTTTTTTTTGTTCCTACAGCAAGGTCATGAAGCGAGAAGGCCCGTCTGCTTTCCTGAAGGGAGCAGGCTGCAGGGCTCTAGTCATCGCACCACTGTTTGGTATTGTGCAGGTCATGTACTTCATCGGCGTGGGAGAGTTTATCATGAGCCAGTCCTCACTAAAGCTAATCTCTGACTGAACAGACCCCAGTACCTCTCATACTGTGGCAGCTACACAGCCAACTGTACATTTACAAGAAAAGATAAACATTAATCAAGATGGTAGAGTTGTTGAGAGAACGGCAACTTCTACTCTGGTTAAATTCTTGTGAGTTTTTTCCAGCCTTACCGCACTTCCTCTATGGTTTACAGGCTTATTTGATGGGCTGTGGCCAGCATTTTGCACTTGTTGGTAAGGATGTATCTGAAGGAGAGCGCTTAAAACGTGCTTACCTTTTCTAGAAGCATATGTGAAAGTTTCCCCTCAATGAGGGGAGACTGGTGTCACTGTAATGACACTAATGATTTGTTGACTTTTTTTCATCTATATATCTACAATTCTTTTTGTATTAAGTCTCCTTTTTCCTACTCAATGTATTTGTGTTTCTGTTCTTGCCACTGTTTTCAGTCTCTAAACAATTGGGTTACTTAATGCTTTTGAAGCTTTCAGACCTTGTAACTCTAAATTGTTAACAGTTTTAGGGAATGTCATTGACTTTCATTCTGTTTCGTTTCATCAGATGCACATTGTGCTCCATTTCAGTCTTTGAGCTGATTTTGGGGAAGGTACACAAGGTGCTGTCTAAAATGCAGTATGCAATGACAACCTAAAACAGCCTAACATAATGCATATTGTATTTATGCAATATTTTGTCACTTTGATGATGTGCATTTATTTTTCCGTTATTCTGTTATTTTTACGACTAGCTTCTAGGGATTTCTAATCCCAAAGCATAGGTCATTATTTTTTAGGTCATGTGTTTGCCTTAAATTAAGACAAGCTCTTCACAAAGTTTGAGGGACCTAGCCTTGAGCAAAAGGCTGTATAAGTGCTGTGATGTTTGATGACAGTATTAACATCTTCCTACAATGACACCTCAATGCAACCAGGATTAATTTCTGTTTAATGTAATGGTCTAATTCAACATTACAAAAATGAATAAAAAAAAATCAAGTTTACTTGTGTGAGCTCTGTTTTAAAGTTGCTCAGGCTTTCATAACCTGTGACCATATTTTATTTCAAAGCCATTTATATGCAACGAGAGAGTTAAAAAAAAAAAAAACTTGACATTAAGGGTCATTACAAAAATGTGCATATTATTGTAATTGCAAACATGTTTATAATGGGGCTTTGTCAGTTATAAAGGCACATAGATCAATAAAACTAGTGGGTCACATTACTGAACAGACCTGCAGAGAAAGAGAAAAAAGCAGAAGTGGTTTATTTACTTTAGCCATGTTTTTGGTTGGGCTGGGTTTTTGCAATTGTACAGCAGTATTGAAAATTACGCTTGATCTCCCTAAAAACTGGTTTGCGCTCTTCACAGATTTAAAATCAGCCAAGAAAGAAAAGTAATGTATTAACCGGTTTAAAAAAAAAAAAAGATTAAACCATTGACACTGACTCAAAGTCAACATGAATCAAACAATTTTGAGGTGTTTATTGTCTGGAACGTGGAGGATGAAAGTTGAGTTTCCTCTCAACAGTAACAGTTTTTCTTCTCTATTATTGCTATAATCATTATTACATTACCATTAACCAACATAAAATTACTACTGGCAAGATTTTCAAAAGGTGGCCTGCGAGAGTATTTGTTTTCTGGTTAACATTAACCAATAGCCCATTCAATAGCTGTGAGAGCAAAAAGTAAAAAAAAGACCAAGTTGAAAAGCAGAAAATCATGCAATAATGAACCTTTCACAATAAAACTAGGAACGATGCAAGAAGTAAATGGGTTTGATTTTGAGTTCATGTTGACTTTGACTCAATCCACTTCTCGGCTTCATTCAGTTTCTTTATGATGTAGCAAAATTACAATAACCAAACATTAACAGCAAAATAAACATGACCCATTATCTATTAGCACAGAAAACCTGGGGCCTCATTTATAAAATGTTGCACAGAAACCATCTTACGATCATCTCTCAAATATGCATACGTGTGATTCATAAAATGAACGTACGTACAGAAAACGCACGCACGCGTCTCAGATGTGAAATCTATGAATCGCTAATGCTCTTGAACTTGCGGGCAAATGAATGGTTTCAGCTCTGCTTGTAAACGACTCCTAATTAATGTCATTAACATGTAAAAGATCACCAGTCATCATCCAAATTCTTTAATTTAGAACAGCGAACTGCAAGAACAGCTTACATTTCCAAAAACCTGCAGTACTCGAACATGAAAAAGTGTACGTCTGCTCAGACCCTGACGTGACGCTAAGCACTTTTCTACATCAAAGACAGTTTTTACAAATATGGCGTGGATTTAAGCGTACGCACATTCTAAAATCAAATCGGAGTGTACGCACGCTTTATAAATGAGGCCCCTGGTCTAGTTCACACAATAACATGTAAAGTAGTTGATCAGTGAGGCATCAGAGAGCTTATTTACACCAGCAAGTAAATGTCCGGTTCATTCATTCTTAACTGGTAACTCAAGAACTATCTATTAAGTGAGACCAAGTTTGAAAAAAGCGAGATGTACACTGAAGATTCCCCTTGTGATGATTTGGTAATAAATCATTGAAGACAAAATAAATGTAAAGGTTAATGCGGTTACAGTAGCAGTCAAACAATGCAAGGAGCAGAAAAGACAGAAACCATCAGAGATAGAACGCTGATCACAAAACAGTACCACAAGACCCACACTGCCTCACGGGAGCTCCTCCACCCGCTTCCCGAGCCTGAATGTGATGGTCTGATGAGGTCAAAGACAGTGGCCTTTGAAACAGTCCAACTGGGTGAGAGGGGGGAGCGCGAGGAACCTAAATTATTTCTCTGCTGTTCCGAATGGCGCAGCATAGAACCATGCTGAAGATCATGCCAATTATCTGTCAAAACAGTGAGGAAATGTTCAAATGTTATACATGATAAATATATAGGCTACAGCGTTCCCAAAATGTATTTGAACACTTAAAGGAACACTCAACTATTTTTGAAAATAGGCTCATTTTTCAACTCCCCTACAGTTAAACAGTTGAGTTTTACCGTTTTCGAATCCATTCAGCCGATCTCCGGGTCTGGCAGTAGCACTTTTTGCTGTAGCTTAGCATAAATCATTGAATCTGATTAGACCATTAGCATCTCTATCAAAAATGACCAAAGAGTTTAGATATTTTTCCTATTTAAAACTTGACTCTTCTGTAGTTACATTGTGTACTAAGACTGACGGAAAATGAAAAGTTGCGATTTTCTAGGCCGATATGGCTAGGAACTATACTCTCATTTTGGCGTAGTAATCAAGGAACTTTGCTGCCATACCATGGGTGCAACAGGCGCATTGATATTACGCAGCGCCTGAAAATAGGCTAATTTCCGTCAACATAACCAACGTGATCACCTGCTTGCACAGGGAGCATTCTGGGGACTATTTTCAGGCGCTGCGTAATATATCAAACTCTTTGGACATTTTTGAGCAGGATGCTAATGGTCTAATCAGATTCAATGATCTATGTTAAGCTGCAGCTAAAAGTGCTACCGCTAAACCCGGAGATCGACTGAATGGATTCGAAAACGGTAAAACTCAACTGTTTAACTCTAGGGGAGCTGGAAAATTAGCCCATTTTCAAAAATAGTGGAGTGTTCCTTTAAGCCAATTGTCACTGCATTACATAATATCAAACCAAGTCACAACACTTTTTATATATACTTTTCTATACTATAAAGCAAATCTTAACTGTAGGGATGCTCCGATTGATCGGCTACCGATCACTATCGGCCGATAATCACATTGGGATGATTTATCGGCGGTCTCTAAAAAGGCTGATCTCAAGCTGATGACGTGCCTGCCGTGAGAGGTTTGGCATGACATGCAGCGGCACAGTCTCAGTCTGGCGTGGGTGAAATCATTTTAATGCTTCAATTAAAATTTTATTTTAATTCTTTATTTTCATATTTCTTCATTAAATAACTTGCATGAGACGTAATTTCACAAACAGCGTGAGTGAATCACCATGCACACGCGCGCTCTCTCTTTCGCTCTCATAATACGCAAATGGCTTAAAAGCTGCACAGTTGACAGGAATTGTCACTTGCACAATCGAGGCAGTGTCACATTGTCACTAAAGTTTATAAATTGCATTACTTTTTCATTCTTGCCAGTGTTTAACTCTCCTGGAGACCGTGCTCTCATGCACACTCACAGCACACACACATAACACCAGGTTCACATTACTCCGTTTGCAGTGCGTATGTGGTGCCTATTTTTTCCACGCTCATTTTAAGGGATAAATAAAGCATGCACACGGTTGCTGTCTATTTTTGCTGCACTGCAAACACTGAATTAAAGTAACAGCACATTGTTTTCAGTAAATAGGAACATGGATTGACACTTTTAAATAAAGAAGGCAATAATAGATGGCACTCGTGGAGGTAGGAAAACAAAGTTCTTTATTAACCGTAGGATTGCTTGTAATAAAGATTTCAATGCAAAAGAAAAAGGCAATAGAGCTGACTATTTCTGTCAATTGTAAGTTTGTGATAACGTAAGAAAAGTAGTTTAAATGTTTTGCCACTTGCTTGAGCAACTTAATATAAAAATCTACACGTAAATGCAAAAGTAAAAAGCATTTAATAATGTGTTGCTTATATTTATTGTGTTTAAACATGTCTGGGATAGATTGTATTACTGTACTGTGTAAAAAAAAGAATTGCAATGCTGAAAAAGCATTTTCAGTGACAATGTTTGGATTCCAAATCAAAATAATGGATAAATGTTGTGTTTGTGGACTCCTGTGTGAAAGCTGTTTCCCCTCTCACAAGAGACACCTAAGAAGGGAATTCCCCCCATTTTCAAAAATGAAATTCAGGCCCTGAATAAATGTCTAAAAATCCTGATTGGAGTATCACTATAAATAGTTATAAATGATAAAAAGAAGGCTTTAAAAAGATCGGTATCGGTAGATACTACTTTATGTGATCGGCGATCTGTGATCGGCCTCAAAAATCCTGATCGGAACACCCCTACTTAACTGCCTGAATTTTTTTAATTCATTGCAAAATGTAACTATATTAGCACCCAGCTCTAATAAAAATTACTATTACACACAGACACACACAAAGATATTATAACCTTTAACATCATAATTGTCTGTAAAGCTGCTCTGAAACAATGTACTGTGAAAATTACTATACAAATAAATTTGACTAGACTTTAAGCACAACATACCGTGTCAGGACTGTCATCAGTGCACAGATCAGGAGGGTGAGAGGACTCAGTCCCGCAACATTCAAACTGTGAAAGAAGAATAGAAATGTCAGAAGATGATGGTGATACTGCCACTATAGCCACAGATCATTTACGAACAGTGTGTCTGTAAAACAAAAGCTCTACTTACCATTTTGTGATACATGGAAGTAATAGCGGTTCCGTTGCCATTTTCCATAGCAGACTGGTAATATTTTTGGACATCCTGAATGATCTAGAAACACATGTGAGAGTATCTGATCATATCACATCATTAGATGACAGTTACTTTCATATTTACGCTCAAACTGATACGGTGCGTGACATACCTTATCCTTATTCAGAAAGCCAAAGACTCCAGCAGCGACCTCTGCACCAAAAATTACAAGAAGGCAAGCGAAGAACTAGACAGTACAAAAGAGACTTCACTTTAGTTTGTCAATACTGAATGCAATTCAACAGAATCATATCACAGGATATATTCCGTTCAAATTATATCACTGTAGAATCATTTGAAGTCACTATATAAAATGTAAAGTCAACATGAAACGGTACTCAATATATATATATAAAAAATTATGTAAATCAACTTTTATTTTATTTATTTATTTTTGCACTGATAGGCTGTGCAAAATCAGACCAGGAACATGTATTAAGTAGTAAATAGGGTCCATTTCAGGGATGTAACGATTCACTCCTCACGATATGATTTTATCACTTTTTGTTTTACAAAATGAGTTCTAAGACAAATAATAAATTAAAAGGAGTCCTTTCATTATTTCTCAGACAAAATGCTGCACATTTCTTTGTGAAACTGAAACGTCAAATAACAAAACTAAATTGAAATTTTAAAATCAAATAAATAAATACAAATAAAATAAATCTCTTCATACATACAAACAAACTAAGGCTTTGTCTATGCTCTTTCCATTAAAAACTAGAAGCATCCACTGCATTTTAATCACGATCCAAACAAAGATGCTGCATACATGCAGCATGAGCAGTTTTTGATTTACATTAGATTTAATAATTTCAAAATTTAAAGCAAAAACAGAATGGTCTGACTTTAGTTTTGTGAAACTATACTACATGCTACATAATACTACACAAACTATACTACATAATAAAATCTGAACGAAACAAAAACAGCAGATGGGCTGCTTGATATGCAAAATCACTCTCTGACAGCAGGTGGCGCTTATGGAACAGCAGTGACCCAGCGTTTCCTTGGTTACTGCTGTAAACAAAGCAGTGCTGTGATAAGGAACACTACTTTAATATGCATTATACCAAAGTCCCTTTAAGGCAAGTCATGTCACTCGGCGGCCATCTTCGAAACGCCTCTCGGGCATGCAAGTGCAGCTCCTATCACTTTGTATGGGGAATCATCAAATTTTCCCAAACTGTTCACTAAACTTATGATTAAATTTGAAATCACCAATGAAATCTGACAACAACTGTGTCATTAATGTTGTTTCTTTTGCTCAAATAGCGTTATAAAAACCTTATTTTTCAGGCTAGATCAGCCAGTGCGCATGCGCGGCGGTCCTGAGCGCACGTCTCAGAGCGCTGACTGTTTCTATAGCAACCGGGACTTCTAACGGCAGCTGCAGTGACGCGCTGACTTTACCGATTAGCGATTGGCTCTTTTGCTCAGAAGGCGGGGCTTCCTGCGATTGAGCCGCCATATTAAGCGTTGCATTTTTCCCCATTCAAAACTATACGAGTGACACATCTTGGGTATTCAGAGACGAGATGAAATTAAAACACCATCTAAACATCTTTTCAGTTCTCCTGAGAGATACATTCATATAAACCCCCACCCACAAATGTATCACGATTCATTTAACACCTCAACCGACTTGAATCGTCACATTTTATTTAATATTTATTTTCAGCCACCTCAGCTGAAACATCCCAAGTCTATTTTGATTTCATGTTTATTTTAAATGCTTCAATGTGGACAAAAAAGAGCTTAGGTCAGTTTTATTCCGCAGTTTTAAATCACAAAAGTGGTGCTTTAAAGTAGGGATGGGCGATACCACTTATTTCGTTTTCGATACGATACCGATATTTTTCAAGGCAGTATCGTCGATATCGATACCGATTCGATACTTCTGAACTAAACTTTTAAATTATGAAATGTATTAAATTACTAAGAGTAAAATGGGTAATGATAAGCACTTAATTTTATGTTTAAAACGCATTTTAACATTCAATACTTAATTGTAACTTGTTAGGTTATATTTTTGTTTACACATGATTCAAATATGTTTTTTGTTTACACATGATTCAAATCTATAAATACTACAGTTGAACTACGGTCACTTTAGTAAAACCATGGTTCATTTTCGTAAGGGACTGCCAGTGACCGGCTGTTGCATGCATAAAATGCAACCTTTTTATTCTGAGAGTGTATGATTTCTATTAACATTACAGAATAGAACATGATCAATACTATCTTTCAACGTTCAAATTAAATAACTGTAATTGCACAAACTATGTAGGCTACAATTTCAGTTTGTTTACTGTGAAATAACTCTGTCCTTCTGTCCTCTGATAAGCATTGTTCAGGGCTGCCGTTCCCAAAAGCTTTAATGCTTTCTTATGATACTTTTGGGAAACGCAGCCCTGTTTGAATGCACTTTTAGAAGTGAGTGAACGCTCTCTGCGATTGATTAGGTCGGTCTTGCAACATTTGCGTGTTCAGATGAGCAGGAAAATAGTTCTATACACAATTACTCGCTAACAAAGGCTATTCGTCGAATTCAATGCATATTGTACGAATTTTTTTTTTTGTTAAATTAACAAAATCACTGGTAAATAAAACACACCTTAGTATCGATATTTTTTGTTTGAGTATCAATACTTTCGATACTCGCGTCAGTATCGATATATCGATACTTTGGATCGATACGCCCATCCCTACTTTAAAGCGATCACAACATTTAGTGTCCATACAGGCAGTAGATGGGGATGGTGGATTGTTCATTTACTGTTGCGTAGTTCTTACCCACCGATCCCAGAAGACACTGTGACTCCCTCACGGCCCCAAAGCAGCCGAAGAACCCCACCAGCATCATGACACCTCCTGCTCCGATCAGGATGTACAGCGCTGAGGGGAAGCCAAGAGTACAGTGTAATGTTTAGAGTTAGGCCATTTCATGTTGAACTTCAATCCACAAATACCCCAGCATGCACTTCACTGTATGACCAGATGATGGCAGAGCATGAATAGATCCGTGTAATGAAATCATCTGTTCATTTTCAACTGTAAAAGTACTCCTGTGGATATGGAAAATAATATTTTCTAGTTATGTTAAGCTCTGAGATGCAGATTAGCATTTGCTATTATTCGCATATTTTTCAGCTTTCCGGCTGGATTCATGTTCTTTATAATGTCCCTATTTAAATGAACAAATAAATAAATAAATAAAAACTGCTGGGAAAATTCTATTTGTGAGTAGAAAAATTATTACAATAAATAATTATAAATTGTTATTCTGGTATTATTTATATACTATAATAGTTTTCTATTAATTCTATTATTCTATTTTGAATTTGCATTTATTTTCAGATTTCAATTTGATTTAATTTTTAGTAAGTTTTTGTTATGCACTTTTGTCCTTTTTTCTGGGTTTTTAAATATTACTGTTTAGGTTTAATTTATTTTTATTTCAGTTTTATTTTTAGATCAGTTTTACATTTGATTTATTTGCAGTTCAACACCAAGGCTACTTTTTTAGTTTGTCACCCAAAATTGATATTTATTTTATTTCAGACTTATTTCAATTAACACAAATGTTTTTACAATATTTTAATGATAACAATCCAACATTCATTGGTCATAAAGAGTACTTTATGCAATTATTTTAAATTATGAATTATGGTATCTAATGATTTTAATATATTGACATTTCTAGTTTCTGTGAATGAAAAATGAAAATAAGCAGCTTTCTCATTACCTTAAAGGATAAAAACAGTTAATATGGAGAACTATTAGGTAAAAGAAACATGAACAAACCTTTATTATTAAACTTCAACGTGTAATCTAGCTCTCTCAGTTACTATACAGTGTTCTAGGATCACTGATGTAAAACCAGTCTATCTCAGCATTCTCAATTCATGGTGGTTTACGAATGTGAACCCAGGTGTACTTTTAGATGATTGAGAATGAAAGCAGCTGATTCTAATTTTATAAAGATTCTGTGGGCATTTCCTGACAGATCAAAATCTAAATCACCCTTACGTGTTACAGTACTTTCCCACACGATGCAAACTACAGTCTCACACAAAAACACAAGGCACAAAAGCTCACTGCAATTCTTGTGTTTTGCATCTTCTCTCCAGGGAAGTTCGAGACAGTGTGAAATGCGTCTCCTCACGTATCTCCAACAAGAAGAGTGTCAAAGGCATCGGCTCAACAGACACAAACAGTCTTTGTGTGCACAACACACACAGACACCACAAGTTCACCCAGTGCCCTGAGACCATAATCGTATTTACTGGCGAGATTCTTTCCCCCAAACCAGTTAAGCACAAATTTCATTGGTCATCTGAATCATGCAGTGAAGAAAAGTTCAGATTTTATGGATTCAGTTCAGTCAAATCATGAACGGATCTGACCAGGCCAGTTTTCACGTAACTGATTTGTGTAAAAAAGTAAATAAATTAATTGTATAAATAAATTAAACGAAATTACACCATTCACTGTTAACATCGACTTGATGCTCTAAGAAATTATGAATTATGCAGCTATACTGTATAACATCCCAGGAACAAAATCTAAAACCTGGACAAATAAAAATAAAAAAATTTTTAAACAAAAGTCAACGGTATTATTGTTATTTAAGTCATTATATTTATGCAAAGTTGTTTTATGATCTTAATGGTCCCAGAACAGATGCTTTTTGACTAAATGATCAGTAATAAAATAATATGTATATTGCATAATAATAATAATAATTATTATTACAATTGTATAGCTCCCTGTCCAGCAAGAGATTCTCCAGCAGACTCTCAGATCTGACCTGAGAATGACCGCAGGACCCTTCCCTTTTCCCCCTGCATTCCAAAGCAAAAGAGACAAGATTTCTTTGACAATCGTTGCTAATCATTGAAAGTATGAAAATATCAGAGCATAGAGTCACAATTAATATGTTGTATGTCTTAGCTATATACAGTGGGTACGGAAAGTATTCAGACCCCCTTAAATTTTTCACTCTTTGTTATATTGCAGCCATTTGCTAAAATCATTTAAGTTAATTTTTTTCCTCATTAATGTACACACAGCACCCCATATTGACAGAAAAACACAGAATTGTTGACATTTTTGCAGATTTATTAAAAAAGTAAAACTGAAATATCACATGGTCCTAAGTATTCAGACCCTTTGCTCAGTATTCTGAAGTGTCTCTGAAGGAAATAATGCATTATTTATCGGCTTAAAGATATCGTCCAAATTTTCTTATCGGGCCGATACCGATAACAGAAAAAATTAGCATTTACCGGCCGATACCGATATGGTGGCCGATATATCGTGCATCCCTAGTTTTATGTAATCTAGAATAGCCAATAAAATTTCATGTTTCATTTATAAATAATCAATTGTCTGGTGTCATATAATTTCAAGGTTAAAACCTTTGCCAAGATCAACGTTACCTCTCTTTCAAGAGTTGACAAATTATCATAAGTGTGTTAACCGTGGCCAGGAAAACACATATTTAATTTGTTAAAATATACTGAGAATCACCTGCTCGCTGGACGACTCTTGATTTAAAGTGTAAACTATTTAAAGTCAAAATCAGTTTTGATCAGGCGGACTCGAATTCTCAGATCGAGTTCTTTTAAAACCTGAGCTAGAAATAAACCTGAATGAATTAATAATAATTAATTCCCTTACAACTGAGTTAAAATTCCTTACAACTATCATCATCATTATTTTTATTCCATTATATTTATGCAAACTTGCTGTATAATAGTTACAGATTTATATAACTTTTTGTTTGGGGCTGTCTAATTGTTAAGCTTCACATTTTTACTTGAGAATGAAAGACTGTTATTTAAAAAAAATCTTTAATTATACAACGAAAATATTATGTAAGTTACTTTACTTGTGAATAGCATTGTTGGGTGCTTTTCTTTAGAGACCAAATATGTGAAAACCAATAAACAACCATCTAAAAACACTCTAGATCTTCATGATCTTGTTGTCATTCTCCTTTTCTTGCCAATTAACTCACCATAGCAACAATTCAGGCACCCCAGACGCGAGTATGCGGAGGCCGGCTTGAGTGAGTAGAGGAGGGCGGGCTTCAGAATGGCGCGGCCGGCGGATTCGACGAAGGAGCGTCCGGCGGGCTTGCGCCAACCACATGTGACGACCACGGGCTGGACTCCGCTTCGTCCACGGTGAAAGCTGATCCGGTGATCGACAGCACCAAGTTGATGTATTTCCTCAGCGACCAGCACGGATCAGCTCCAGGCATGACGAAGCGGATATCGTCCTCTTTTGGAAGGCCAAACTAAATATTTTTCAGTATCAAACAAAGTTTTGCTTTCACAACGAAACACACAGCGCCTTCACGACATGGCGGTGGCGGCAACAACAACAGCGAGAATAAAAGTTACGCCTTCTTTCTTTGCGTGAACATTTGGGCGGCGTTATGCAAATCTTCCCACATCGTGACGTAGACATGTGGGGGCGTGTCAGAATGAGACGTTTTAGGTAGGTGTGGTTGACTCTTAACTTTTATAAAGAATATCTCTTTGGATTTGAGACTTTAGTCTTTGCAACTTTACAGATCTTCTTTATGTAACACTCCAAAGAGAAAGGAAAAACTAAAATCACATGACCCCTTTAATGGAAAAAGATAAACTAGAGCAAAATCGAAGCACCTGGTAAAGCTAAATGCGCTAAACATCCCTGTCGTTTTACAGCAGACTATGAATTAAACAGCCAACAGTATGTAAAGCGCTTCAAACATGTTTCCACCCTTAAACATAGGTTTACATTTCAGGTATGACATTCCCATCCTCGAAGGAGTCAAGAAGACCAAAAGGCTTGCCAGAAAGCACAGCACTGAAGCTTTGCTGAGGTTTTATTAAGGCTCAGGGAAGACAGTCGTCACAACACACAATAATTAATCCCCAAGGGAGAAAAAACTTTTGTATTCGAGGATAGGACAAAGGAGATTTGACAAGTCCTCTGTGAGTTCAGCAAGCTAAAAACACCAAGCCCTCACTACTCTCGACTTCCTAATTGCCAAATGGATGAAAAACATGCTGGCATTTCATATAAAAAGGCCCCCCTGCCCTCCTTATAATATAAACACAGAACATCTCTAAATGGGCAGAGAGATCTCTCTTAAACATGCCAGGACTCAAATCAGTTCAGTTGGTCATGACTTGAGAGCATGGAAAATGGGCAATTGTTGTTTACCAATGACTCAAGAACAAGAAAAGCAAAAAGATGAGCACATGGAAAGCTTTGACTCATCTGCAAAGATGTTTACTGGAAGATCACAGGCTGTCCGTTTTTAACTGTTATTATAAAATAGATTGTTCCAGTCCTGGTTGACATGATGCAATGCTGCTATATGCAAAAAAAAAAAAATCTTCACCTAACTACAGCACCCACAGAGGCAAACTATTAACCTTAGCACTAGGTAGAGATATATGACTATATTGTCTAGCAGATGGATGGCACTTACTTGCTTAAAGTGGAAGTGAAGCAGTCAGTCAAGTTTACATTATTTAGTAAACTGATTTCCATTTTAATAAAAAATAAATATATATATATATATATCATGATTAATTTAAACATTTTAAAGAAAAAAGGATGTTTTGTTATAGCTTTTGGAGCAAGAGCGCTGCCATCTTGCAATACCACAGTGTGTGACGTCACTGAGTTTCAAGCATTTCTTTACTTTTTGAACTCACGCTTGCTTTCACACAGCGCCTTCACGACATGGCGGTGGCGGCAACAACAACAGCGAGAATAAAAGTTACGCCTTCTTTCTTTGCGTGAACATTTGGGCGGCGTTATGCAAATCTTCCCACATCGTGACGTAGACATGTGGGGGCGTGTCAGAACGAGACGTTTTAGGTAGGTGTGGTTGACTCTTAACTTTTATAAAGAATATCTCTTTGGATTTGAGACTTTAGTCTTTGCAACTTTACAGATCTTCTTTATGTAACACTCCAAAGAGAAAGGAAAAACTAAAATCACATGACCCCTTTAATGGAAAAAGATAAACTAGAGCAAAATCGAAGCACCTGGTAAAGCTAAATGCGCTAAACATCCCTGTCGTTTTACAGCAGACTATGAATTAAACAGCCAACAGTATGTAAAGCGCTTCAAACATGTTTCCACCCTTAAACATAGGTTTACATTTCAGGTATGACATTCCCATCCTCGAAGGAGTCAAGAAGACCAAAAGGCTTGCCAGAAAGCACAGCACTGAAGCTTTGCTGAGGTTTTATTAAGGCTCAGGGAAGACAGTCGTCACAACACACAATAATTAATCCCCAAGGGAGAAAAAACTTTTGTATTCGAGGATAGGACAAAGGAGATTTGACAAGTCCTCTGTGAGTTCAGCAAGCTAAAAACACCAAGCCCTCACTACTCTCGACTTCCTAATTGCCAAATGGATGAAAAACATGCTGGCATTTCATATAAAAAGGCCCCCCTGCCCTCCTTATAATATAAACACAGAACATCTCTAAATGGGCAGAGAGATCTCTCTTAAACATGCCAGGACTCAAATCAGTTCAGTTGGTCATGACTTGAGAGCATGGAAAATGGGCAATTGTTGTTTACCAATGACTCAAGAACAAGAAAAGCAAAAAGATGAGCACATGGAAAGCTTTGACTCATCTGCAAAGATGTTTACTGGAAGATCACAGGCTGTCCGTTTTTAACTGTTATTATAAAATAGATTGTTCCAGTCCTGGTTGACATGATGCAATGCTGCTATATGCAAAAAAAAGAAAAATCTTCACCTAACTACAGCACCCACAGAGGCAAACTATTAACCTTAGCACTAGGTAGAGATATATGACTATATTGTCTAGCAGATGGATGGCACTTACTTGCTTAAAGTGGAAGTGAAGCAGTCAGTCAAGTTTACATTATTTAGTAAACTGATTTCCATTTTAATAAAAAATAAATATATATATATATATATCATGATTAATTTAAACATTTTAAAGAAAAAAGGATGTTTTGTTATAGCTTTTGGAGCAAGAGCGCTGCCATCTTGCAATACCACAGTGTGTGACGTCACTGAGTTTCAAGCATTTCTTTACTTTTTGAACTCACGCTTGCTTTGAAATGGAGGAAGATGAACTTGAAAAGACTGTTGAGCTCATAATAAGTGCAATTTCTTATGCTGAGCTCATAATAAGTGCAATTTCTTATGCATTTGAGGATGGGGGGGGGACCGAGCAGTAATACCGTTAGGGGTGGAAGAAGTCGTGAACCTGCTGGTTTGGGGTGAAGAGCAGGTCGGAAACAATACGTGCTTACATGGTTACTCATCAAAACAGCCATTCTGACATAAATGTGTGCGCATATGCTCAGGAAGATGTGAAAGAGAACTCAATTTGGTACTTGCGTGCTGTCTTTTTGCATGCATGCGCACAGAAACGATCTATCACATCCTGAGCAAATGGTGACCAGTTGTAGAATGGGAGCAGGTGTGGGACACTGAGAACCACCTCAGACAAAAGGGGTGTCAGAACTTAATTAACATACAGACCACAGCTGTAACAACAGGAGCAACTTCCTTTACATTGAGGGTAAACTCTAAGTGTATAAAATGTTTGAGCTTAGGATGTTCGGGGTTCAGTCTGACTCCGTTGAACCCAAGGTACTACATGTACTTTGTCACTACTATTCTGTAATAAAAGTTATTCTTCACCAAGATCTTCGACGTCTTCACTTTTTCTTACAAATGTTTGGGATACCACGATCAAAACTTCATTATGTAGACAGTTTGATGCTGGATATTCATCCAAATTATGGTGAAAACCAAAAACATTTGTGTGTTCAAAAAGTAAAGAAATGCTTATATTACTTAACTAGCCAATGGAGTAAACCAACCCCATGACATCACACGCTGTGATATTGCAAGATGGCAGTGCCTTGCTCCAAAGGCTATAACAAAACATCCTTTTTTCTTTGAAATTGTTACATTAATAATGTTTGTTATATATATTTTAATTAAAATGGAAATCAGTTTACTAAATAATGTAAACTTGGCTGACTGCTTCACTTCCACTTTAATATTATAATGTCTGTGATTTATTAGTATCTTATTGGTTAAATAGAATTGGAACACAATGCATTTTGTTGGGTCTGATTTCACTTCCACTTTAATATTATAATCATGACATCACACGCTGTGATATTGCAAGATGGCAGTGCCTTGCTCCAAAGGCTATAACAAAACATCCTTTTTTCTTTGAAATTGTTACATTAATAATGTTTGTTATATATATTTTAATTAAAATGGAAATCAGTTTACTAAATAATGTAAACTTGGCTGACTGCTTCACTTCCACTTTAATATTATAATGTCTGTGATTTATTAGTATCTTATTGGTTAAATAGAATTGGAACACAATGTATTTTGTTGGGTCTGATTTCACTTACATAAAAAAAAAATAGTAAGACAAAAGTAAAATGCAAAATTATATGTGCCTACATTTACATTTAGTACATTTTCACAAATTCAGATGAATCCGTTGCACCAGCAAGACTTTTAATATTCTAGTCTTTGAAAACACAAAAAAATATGCTTTAATGTAGGGGTGGGCGATCTTCCCAAAATATCATATCACGATCTTATAAAGCAAAATCACAATACACAATCTAAATCGTGACCTTCCTAATTTTGAGATGTATTGTCAAGAATATCCAGACTGGACCAAGCCTATGACTTATCTATTTGCACAATTAAAAAAAACACTGTATTGCATTAATGTCAAAATGGTCATTAAAACACTGCATCACTGTATGAATGAAATATACTTTGATTCTTATTAAAGTTATAAAGTGATTTAGTCAAGAGTAGCAAGTGATTTTCTCTATCTTTTGTTGTATGATTAGCATTAATGACACAGACAGCAGTAGGTTAATTAGGCTGCTGTCTCTTTAAGATAGAATGCACGGATCTAATATACTGACATGCAGAGGTCGACCGATTGATCAGCTTGATTTTTGGCATTTTTTAATTAATCAGCATTTGATTGTGCTGCAAATGTGCTGCAAATTAGGCCGATTTATAGGCGGGCAGCTAAGCGTTGTT